ACATTGGCAAATTGGTTGATAATTGACCAGATGCTTGGGGAATTATACTCGGCACAGACAAGAGTCCTTTTTTATTTTGTAAAAATTATTATTTATTTTCTGCCCATGAAGACAGATTAGAGTGAGTCATATGTTAACGGCCAAGACACACTGAGTTAAGGATGGATGCAGTGTCGGATTTTCAGAGGAAATGAGAAAAAGATTTATTGAGAAGTGGAAAAAGGACATAGAGACAGATAGAGAGACGAACAAAGAAAACGCAAGGTAAGCTTATCAAATGCAAGAGTGCTGAGAGGGCAGTGCCCCGATACAGTGGGACTCCTGACCTTGGCTCGGTGGAAACAGAGAGAAGAAGAAAATGGTCAGGGGGTGGCAGGCAGAGTTATAAAGAATGAAATTAAAGAGAGGAAGTGAAAAAGTGCAGAGAAGGGCAAATCAAGTCATGAAACTGTTATAGCACTCCAGGTCGGCTGGGATCAGATTTTAACTTCAAAGTCTCGTTATTTATTTCATTTGTAGAGCGAAGAACCCCTTCCACACAACTGCTGTGTCATCATAATCCACATTGCTTGCAAATCGAGACTAATTTGTTTTTGTGTTATGGTCGTTTGAACTAATAATTACATTTTGATGACTCCACAAGGCACATTGCACATAAAAACATTGCAGAAGCTTCTTACAAAAGAGAGTTTGACTTATTACTTTTGTAATTTGTTATGCGCGGAAATGATTTGGTTTCTTTTAAAGTGTTTCCCAACAGGCTTTTGATTTGGAATACACATTTTTCAGCGCGCCATATAGCACAGAATAGTAAAAAAGTGAAATGTATATGCAAATACAAAATAAGGTTAAGGGGGTTAGTATTTTAATTATGGATTTTTGGAAGAACTGGCTTCTAGAAAGACTTCTGAATCAACACCAACACCAACAAATCAACCAAGAACAACAACTCTTAAATCAGTATATCCGTTTGATTGTCAGGAAATGTAACCGGTTCTTGTTAAAACAGCTTCCGTGTAAACCAAAATGTACGAAGACAGGAAGGAAAGATTACTCGATCCTAGGAAAATCTCCCAAATAAAGCTGTCTGGCATGAACAATGCATGTATTACGAGATCTGAACCTAGTCACAGAAAGTTATTTTCATTTGCCTGGGATCTCGCCAGTGTAAGGTAGGCCGAGTGGTAACATGTAGACAGAAAGAAAACAAAAGGAAAAACGTTTTTTCTTTTGCCTGTGTGTTAGGCGAGTTATTTGCATTGGAGTAAATGGGCACCATTGCTTCTGATTGGTTTGGCCAACCTCCCAAACAGAATTGGCTAACATGAACACTATGTAGGACTGCTACATGAAGTCAAACAAAAGGGCAGTCCTGTCTGATTATCAGCCTGGGCAGAGTGTCATAACAAGGCTGGCAACTGCCCCAGGACCCCAGGCTACCAAGAGGCCGGAAAAATTCTCCAAATTCACCATTTGGCCGTTTTGTTAATTTTATTTTTGCAAATTGTACACTTATACTGAATACATAACTGAAACACAAAACAAATGGACATTTTAGAGGCATTATTACCTTGTAAACCTCCTCTTGTAGACGGGAGTTAGAATCTAGCTCCAGGGCATATCCATTTATATTGTGTTTACGTGATGTTATTCTTAAATTAATTTGATTAAATGACCACGAATACTGCTGGAATACCAATTGCTAACTAATATATGCAAACAGAGTGTTTTCAGAATCAGAATCAAGTTTATTGCCGGGTGTGTTTACACATACAAGGAATTTGCTTTGGTGTATGATGGTGAGAAAACAAGTTGTAAGAGAAGGTCAAAAATGTAAAAGAAAAAACAATATGGCATTCAAAAGAATAAAGGAAAATGTTTACACCCAATTAAAAATATACAAAAGGAATTAAAAACCTTAGTACCATGAATATTTGATGACTCACCTCAACCATGTTTAGCTGTGTTCTGGCCCTGTAGGGCTTTAACCCCTTGTTCCAGCACTGTGATTGCATCTATGCCAGCTGTGCAACCTCTGGTCTTGAAGATGTTGAAATGCTCCAGGATATTTTCTGAATGAACCTTGAGCTGAGGCTGGTTTCTCAGCCGCCGTTTCCAAGGCCAATGATGCCCTTTGATGTTCATCTTGACACATCGTTGTTACTCTTAACCTTGACTCAGCGACACACACAACCCAGCATGAAAGAAAGAAAAGAAAGTGAGGAAGATTGAGAGAATAATGAACAGTGAAGTAGAAAGAGGGAGGAAATTGGTTTGGCAGGAAGAAAGAGAAGAAGAAGAAGAAGAAAATGAGTTTAACCTACGAGGCAGGGAGACTGAAAGAGAACATGTAGAGAAAATAGGTTGAAGTGGCGGAGGTCGGTGTAGCGAGATGAAGAATGAAGGAGACATGGGGCAAATGTTTGGCCACACAGCAAGTGCCCGATTAATTAAATCCACTGTTTGTTTCTGCACTCTGAGCAGGCAGCTCGGAGGCTCGTTCTGGCACCTTGCCTAACACTCTCACAACAACAGTCCTGATCTCCTTATCTGCGCTCCTCTAATCTGTTATCCACACAGGAGCTGTGGCATCATATCTTCAAATCTCAGATGGGTTTGTTTTCTTTTATCATCTGCATTTACGTCAGTCGGTGCTCTGAAGCAACACATCTGTTGTGTTCAAAGGAGTTTTATATTCAATTGGTACCACTTTGCTGCCAACATAAATCCAACACTCTCAGTTAAAGTAATGTTATTATTTATGCTGAAAGCCCCTTAATGTTATTGAGTCAAACTTCGCTCCCAATGGTTTGACTCTCCCGGCCATACAAAAACAAACTGAGGGCTAACAAACATTTGCCTGGCTGTCTGTTACGCATGCCTGCTGCGAATACACACAAACTCACACCAGCAGATGTATTTACATACTCAAACAATACTAGGATTGCATAAGAAATAGCAAGTGTAAGTACGGACAGAAGGTAAACAGCCACTGTTACAGCAGCACATACACAGAACGGTCCTTGTAAACACGCCATGTGATTGTAATCCCCTCATTCAGCCGTTTGTTCAAAGAGGCAGGTACCAGGGGGAATTGTTGTAATACTGATGTAGCTGCACCTGTCTCCTGAGATAAACCCAGAATAGCTCCGAGCTAACGCAAACAAAAAAATGTCTCAAAACTGGAGGAAGGCAGCTCAGGTCAGACATGGATCACCGGTCATAATCTTGATCGCTCAAAGTTTGTTTTTGACAGAAATCCAATTAATTATTTCAAAAACAGGCTCACTGTTTCCCCTTGTTTCCAGTCTTCAAAGCTTATCAGCAGCTCATGTTTATGGTAAAAGATATGAGATTTGTATCGTTTTTTCATCACTCTGCAAGAAAGTGAAACAAGTAAATACTACTTTCATTTTTTTTGTACGATTTTGTACGACACGTTTTAGATGGGAGAAGGAGACACACCTGGCGGAGATCTGCACTTTACTGAGTGCACTTTTCTACTTGATTTATAATTGAGATAATCAACCTTTAATAAATTCTGTATTTTGGCTGCCAGGTTGTAAAATAAATCCCTTTGGCTGGTGTGTATCCTCAAATAAACCCTTAGAAATATGTTTCGTATTAAGAAGTAATACCTTTCTTTCAAAGTAGCACACCCTGCCATAGAAATAGTTTAGTTAGTTAAGTAAAGCTTTGCTGAGAACACTTCTTCCATCTAATTCACACAGGTACACACATTCACACCTTGGAGAGCTATGTCCACTAAATGTATCCTCTTTTGTACGCAGGAAGATTGCTTTAATATGACATATGACAATATGATTCACACGAAAACAATGAATAGAATGTTTTGAGCTGGGGAGTAAATTACAGTTTAAGCATTCCTTTAGTGTAATTGTCATCCACCACACGGCTCATTGTGTATGTGTCTTTCAGAGTGTGTGTTTATGTGTGTGTGAAACAACCTGCAATTTCAGAGGGTGTTGTTCAAACACAGTGGACTGGCCTCACCCATTGCAAACCAACAGGCAGCGCCGGCCTCGACAGCTCTTAATCTGCAGCTCGTCTAGCAGGTCTTTCTGCAGTCTGCACGGGTGGAGGTTAATGGAACGCTGCGCATTAAAGCGTCTCACTGCGGTTGTGTGGAAACAAGTTTTTTGGGTGTCGTTATGTGAGTGGAAATTAAACAGGAAAAGGCCTTAAGGCTGACAAAAGGAGAACGGTAGTTTATATGCCGAGACTGATAGAATCTTGACTGTTTGATCTCCACAAACTGTTTACGTCTGGTTTCAAAAATGCTAAATCGCTGTCAGATGCAAAACTTGTGATTCTAGAAATCAACATTATAAAACCAGTGAGAAGCAACCTCACAGTTTTGAACACCTGCCACAAAGCCTCCTCAGCACTACAAGTGAAAAAAAAATCAACATGTATTAACTCAAAATAACAAAAACCACTTGTTTTAACACTGGAAATCATGCCATGTTGAATTGATTAGATCAGGATGCCAATTTTAACTGTCATTAACGTATGCATGAATCCAGTTTGACAGCGTTCTTAAGGGATGATTATGATGTGACAGCTACTTAGAGGAGGCATGCGTTGAATGACAAGTTGTTTATCTTATCACAGAGCTGATATAACTCTGAAGCTGCTGTTCAAAACCAACAACGAGTGTCGAATTAACTCTAGGGGTGGTGAAAGGACTAAAACACTTTATGAAAGATATGTGCCTGCTAATGGGTAGCCCACATTGAATTAGTTAAAAACACATGAGAGTGTCATTCAGTGCTCCCCACAGATTATCATGACACTCTCCTAATGGCTGCTAATGTTTTTGGCCCACAGCCCGGATGTTGCTCCAAGGAGTCAGATGCTTGCCAATCTGGAGCGCACTAACTTCTTCACGGGCCGGTGGTGCGGCGCAGCTCTCATCACGTTGGCATGATAATCTCACACACACAGAGGGATGAAAGCAAACCAGAGTGTCTCCTTACCTGAAGTGTCCCACATGTTGAGCTCGATCCTCTGTTTCTCGATCTCGAAGCTGGCTGTGTAATTCTCAAACACGGTGGGAACATAATTCTGAAATGAGACACGCGGGGCTAAAATTAGACCAAAGCTCAGGGGAGTGTTGTGTACATTGTGGATTTTAATTGAAATTATGATAATGTATCGTAGACAAGAAAAACATGAATATTTCAGTCAGCTGGAGTGCAGATGAATATCAGGGGCATGAGATTGTGTGTGTGTGTGTGTGTGTGTGTGTGTGTGTGTGTGTGTGTGTGTGTGTGTGTGTGTGTGTGTGTGTGTGTGTGTGTGTGTGTGTGTGTGTGTGTGTGTGAGAGAGAAAGCTATATTCTGAGTTTTTAACTATTTCCAAATTCAGGAAAATATGGCACTAAAGCTGTGTTTGACCTATAACCAATAACACTTCAAGAGTTTCCCAAGAAATAAATATTAACCTTCAAGAATATTTTAGTCTTTCGTTATTTCTTGGTAACAGCTAATTATATTGGGCATTTTCGATTAATTGTCATCATAATACTGAGGAAAAGGCACAACCTCACAACATACTTCATGAACAATTCCATCCAAAATCTAATTTGATATTGTCCAAAATGTCCAGTTTTAATTAAACACTGCATGTTAATTGAAAATATTAAGGGTTTAAGTGCTGAAATGCTTTAATGTACTAGAAAAAACTTCCTTAAACTGATTTACAAGAGTAACTTGTTTCTGAATTATTTAATCTTGATTAATTTCATTATACGTTTAGAGTTTTTAGCATAAACATTATAACTGTAAATGTATTATTGTCTCTCGGAAGTGTGGGTACAGTGTTTTGGTAAGAGGCAGTCAAGCTCTCTGGCGGTTGGTTTGGTCACAAAGTAATGTTTCAGTATTTACAGACCAGACTGATGCGCAAAGGCGCGCAGAGCCAGAGTTCAGGGCACTGAATTGTCTCGAGTCTGAAGCCTGAAAATGTTTTTCAAGCAAATGTTAAGATAATCTCATATATAAGGTCATTCACAAAAACACATATGAATACGTAAATAGGAAAGATGTTGCTTGTCATCGCCCAGTTACCATACATTAGATGATAGGAGCAGGTTTTTAAGTTTCGCTGGATATGTCCGGCTGAATGGATATTTGTTCACTCCGTGTGGTTGCTGGGACTTTACTCATGTGTTTATAATATACGGTTTCTTACCTCTGGGTACGAGTCTTTGGCAAAAACGTGGAGGAGAGCCGTCTTCCCACACTCCGTATCGCCGACCACCACTATCTTACAGCGCAGTAATCCCTTATTTCCCTCCATCGTGCACCGAGTATCACTGAGTGCGTCTGCTCTGCTGCCTACTTGTCATTTAGCTTAAAACTAGTGGAATGTCAAAAAGCAGCTCTAAATGTTCTAAATGTGTTCTCTCAGAGAACACGAAAAAGTCTGTTCAGATGTAAAAACTTCAGCAGCGCAGTGATGAGATGTAGTTTCAGTTACATGCTCTGCGTAATGCTGCGCTCCTCCGCTCCACCGCTGAAGTGAGGCGGACTGACAACAACGGTCAAGGCGCGTCACTGAAACGGGCTTCCGGTGGGATATTTCAAAAATAAAATACAATGTGCATCTTGTAAATGGGTAGCTAGCTACTACTTATTTGTCAGTTACACGCTAGATAAGAGGCAAACTAAACTTTTAACACATGTTGTGTGCCTGGGTACACCAAAGGGAGGCTGTGGCTCAGTGGATAGTGGACTTCGAATCAGGGGATAGCGAGTTCGAGTCCCACTGCAGTCTGCATGTCGTTGTGTCCCTGGGCAAGACACTTCACCCCAAATTGCTCCTGTGGGGATTGCCCACAGTACTAAATGTATGTAAGTCACTTTGGATAAAAGCGTCTAACAAATGACATGTAATGTAATGTAAAAACGAATCAGTTGTATGTGTTAAACTCAAGTGTTCTTAAGAAAGACAGTAATACGCCCTCTAAATACTCTCACGACTAAGGTAGACATATTTTACACAAATATAAATAATGTAAACATTTATTATTACTGTTGTCGTTTTAGTTATTGTGACATGCTTTTATTTTACGAACAGAATGCTCGTTCTTCCGGTTTTTTCCTGGCTGTCTTGGTGTAGTGTTGAATCGTGACAGGCATTGATGTCAATTGTGTCAGTAAACATCTCATTAAATGTGCATGCCTTATTTTATAGCATACATAAAAAACTGAGATCTTTTCAACATAACACTGAAATAGTCAATTGAAAACATTCTGATATTTTAGTAACGGTATATGTTGCAGTTCTCTTACAATGACCCAAGGTTCAAAATGTAGGCTATAGGTTGACAATGTAAACTTACACTGACTTTCTCACCATAGTTTTTCAGGCATATTCCCTGTACACAAAAGAGGATATAACTCAAAGTAACTACCACGTGACCCTGAATAGAAACCTTTATCCTGAATATTTGGTAGCCTTTTCCTAACTGTTACTTATTTAAATCATTTATGACATTTATTATAGGCTATTTGTCATTTACAATAACATCAGTGAGCTGGCTGATGTGTTTATAGACAGAGATAAAGAAAGAATTTTAGCTCCATCTTCTGGTCAAACTGAAGTAAGTCAATCTATTTTCCAAACACTGTATTGCAGTGTGTGTTTTTCATTCATATTTTTTATTTCACTACATTTTATCATCTTAAATATCACAGCAATACTGTCTGTTCAATTATTCTAACTTTTGTGTTGATAACACAATACAAATATTCTTGTCAATGATCTTCTTTGGGGATCAAATGTTTGTTAAGATTGTATATTCAAAATCTACATCCAAAAGCACAACTGGTTTTCTTAGTTTGACAGCAGTAACAAAAACGATATATAAAATGCTGAATTGTAATAAATGTATATAGAAAATAAAATACCAAAACACAACTCCACTCCTCTGTTCCAGAGCAAAGAAGCCCATAATTAAGTGTGTGTGTGTGTGTGTGTGCGCGCGCGCGCGTGCGTGCATGCGTGCGCGCGAGTGTGTGTTTAGAAAATAGAGAGCATCTGAGAACACTTATAACGTGTCCCTCAGACCAGAGTTAGTGACCACATATGTTTGTTTTGTTTTCCCAACTGAGTGTGTTGCCTGTGTGGCCCAATGTGCAGATCTGTGCAGACCATAGACTGTGGTGCAGACTCACTTCTATCAAACTGAAGTATTAAACTGAACTATTACATGAGTCTTTATATTAGCATAAGGAAGCCCTTAAAAAACAACTCTCTGTTTCTCACCGTCTCTTCACTTCCTGGCACACGGATTCAACCACCATGTGAGAACGCTGCTCCAGTTTCAGGGTGCAATCTGTTTTACGGTTTGAACCCACTGTGTGTGGGTGCATGTTGAGTGACTGAAACAAGTAAATGCCATTATAACGGAAATAACCTTATAAGCTTTAAATATGTTTAACATAGAGTGCCTCAATATGAATTGTCTAGCTGTGTTAGTTTTTCTTTTTTAAAGCCCTTAAAGACATCAGAACGTCCATTATTTATTTTAATAATGGATTACAGTGTCTGTTCTCATTCTTAAACAACAGTTTTTCTATTAATTGGTTGTTTTAAGGAGTTATCAATAATATTGATAGTCACAAACTTAAAATTAACAAAATACTTTTAGGTGGGAACCCCACTTATATTTGTTCCCATTTTTGCAAAATCCACAAAAAGCGGTGAAATAATAATGGATTCACAGATGTGAACCAGGTATTATATTATTTAACTCTTAAATAGCAGATGAGTGAACTGCTGCATGTTCTTCCTCCAGCTGTGACCTGAGACACCCCCCCCTCCTCCCTGTTGACCCCCCCTCCCCCCGGTACTCCAGTGTCCGGGGTTTGGAGCTCTCCGCAGCTCGCTGGCTCTCATCTCTCAGCTGTTCGCCAATTAAACGGTCGTCACTTTTTAAGAGGTGTCAAGCCGGCGACAATCAGGTAGAAAAACACTGGAAGTTGCAAGACTAGCATTCAAATAAAAGCCTCTATTCATAAATGGAATCATCTAGAATAAATATCGAGCACAACCAAGCATCAACACAGTTATAATGTTCATTGCTTACCCTGCAAAGCAATTGTAATGTTGATTAGCCAAGTCTTCATGGGATATATGAAGCTATTTGATATTTCAGATATAACATATTTTATTTTCATTTAGGTTTTTACAACATAATGCATTGTTGACATGTGTTTTACTTATTGTGCATAATAAATTGTTCCCTTTGTCTCTAAGACCTTATCAATGTTTTTCATACAATTTATCTTGTGTTTATTTGTTCTAGTGACTTATTTTATTTTATGATTGTAGCGTTGTGTAATGTAATCTTATGTATTGTTTTAACCTTGCTCTATGAAGCTCATTGGGCTGTATGAGGTGCTATATAAATATAGTTAAAACGGTTTTAGGAGTCTCTCATTTCAAAACTGTCATTATAATGTGCAACACTTTTTTTGAATCTCATAGCTTTTCAGTCACATGAAGTGTTTTATTTTGAAAATCCAAACCGGAACTCGTGTTTTTAAATCTGTCAGTATTGACGTTGGTCACTTGTTGAGCGCACAAATAGGAGGAAACCCCGCAGATATTCTCATTTTACATTTACAAAAACGACAGACCGTCTCCAGTGAGGTTGCTCTTTTATGTCAGCGCTCCCCTCCAATAACTGCATTTACCGGGAACTGTTCATCTCCGTTTAGTGATACTCTTATTTAAAGAGAGGCAATGATGTCTGGCGAAGAGGCTCCAACTCTGCAGCCTGAGCAGGAGAAGCAGCCCGACGAGGAGCCTCCCCCGGCGGTCTCAGAGGCTCCGCAGCAGTCCGGGAGCAGCAGCCCTGTGGTGGCCGAGGAGAAGCCTCTCTCCATCCGGGCTCTGGTCCTCACGGGCTACGGGGGCTATGATAAAGTGAAGCTGCAGGTGAAGACGCAGAAGCAGCAGCTGGCTGCGGGAGAAGTGTTGGTGCGCGTGAAGGCGTGCGGGCTGAACTTCGCGGAGCTGATGGGCAAACAGGGTCTGTACGAGCTGCTGCCCCCCCCGCCCGTCACCCTGGGCATGGAGGGCTCCGGGGTCATCGAGGCTGTCGGGGAGGATGTGAAAGACAGGAAGGTTAGTGAAGGCCTGCTGATCACACCTACACACACATGACTCACACACCCTCTCACTCTCTCAATGAAGTTGATGCCTGTAAAAAGTATAAACCTGCATCCATTGTCACTACTGCAAAACATATTCTAGAAATATCTTTCAAACACTAAACCAGATTTGATTTCTCTTAAGTTCTATCTTGTCTTTTATAGAGAATTCAAGAAACCTTGTAAACTGGCCTCCTTGGTTCCTCTTAGTTTCAGTGGGAAAATGACAGTTTAATGCTTTTAAGAATGACCAAATAATTCAGATAACATGCATTCGGAATGGACATGTATCCTTCCTATAGGTCGCTGACTACGAATGGCTCTCTAAAATTATAAGTATAGTAATTGGGGCTGCAATTTAAGATGATTCTTGAATAATTTGCGTAATATTTTCCCAATCATTGTCTGAAAATTGCACATCCATGACTCACACCCCGCCACATGCACTCATTCAAATAAGTGTTTCTGTATAAAGAGTAAGCCTGCACCCATTGGTTCTCAGTGGCACGTGCATTGTCATTACTGCCAAAAGAAACGTGCTAGTAATATTTTCCAAACACTAAACCAGATTTGTTTTCTCTTTAGTTTCCATTTTTCTTTTGGATTCAAGAATACGGTTTGCATCTTCATGGCTGATAACTGCAAAAGAAACGTCTATAAAAAGTCATGGCAGAGGGAAAATGACAGTCATATAAACCTAATAAGGGATTTCTTTAAATCGTTTGTTTTGTCAGACCAACTGTCCGAAACCCCACATATGAACGATTTCAACGTTATAAAATTATTAGCAAAAAAGATAATCTCACAAATGAGAGGCTAAAACACATAGACATTTGACATGTTCTGTCATATTGCCGATTGGTTAAAGAAAAAGTAGCTTGACATTAAATAATTGTTTAGGCTCTATCAAACAATGCCATCTATTTGGACTTGTTCATGCTTTAAAACATCTCTGTTCAAATTGCTGCACAATGGGAAAGCAGAACCCAATGATAAATAACCTCCACCAGTCTAATCCTTTAATGTTCTGCGGTCTCTTAAAAACAGGATGGAAAGATGCTTTCCTTCTGCTAAATCTAACATCCTGGTATCATGAACAGTTCGTTTTTTGATTTACAATGTGTCCTTGAGATGTGTTTGCATTCTTCCTCCCGGCACAAAAGAACATTTACGTTTGCCTTGATAAGAACTTTCCAAAGGTCGAGTCTTAATTTATCAAGTCTGATAAAAGGGTTCAAAAATATTTATAAGCTCTGTTTCTGTGCTTCCTTTTAAAATCTACTAAATGTTAGAATGGACTTTCTGATGCATAAAGGCACCTGATTCTACAGAGCTGATCTCAGAGAATCCAAGGCCAGTGCTTTTTTTTGTGTACTGGGGATATTTAAAAAAACAACATATGAAGTGTGACTTATGAGTGTGACTCATTGCAAGAAACCTTGACTTCATGTCACAGCTTCTGCAAAGAACTCCCGTTTGATGTTCAAAGGTTTTTTTCTTGCACCGGTAGAAAGAATAAAGCAACATTTTGAGTTGCTTATGTTCTGCCTGCATACACTAATGCATATGGAAGACGCAAAACACTTGTATTTGAATGAGAAACAGGACTTCTAAGCTGTGTCATTGGGTCATAAGGAGGGTTTTTTTAAATAGTCCCATGCAGAACTCTGATGTTTTTTTTCTCCTTTATTCTTTTCAAACAAACATTTTATGATATGAAAGTCAACTTGCTGAATTTGAACACCTTGGACTAAAATGTAAATGTCAATATTGGTTATATTGATATACAGGATGTTACCTAGTTTCTTAGTTTACTTAGCTCTGGTTTTTTTAAATAATATTTACATAAAGCAGGCATAAACTGGGCCATCATATGATCCCCTCCCAGCTCAGATTCAGTCAGTTGTTGTCACTTCTTTCAAAAAGGATGCTTTACTGCTAGTTACCGATCTTATTTGTTACCATCCGGAGCTTTAACTTGACCATATTTAGCGTCAACACAAGACGCCGTAACCATATGTAGCTGTTTGAACAATGCCTTGACTTACATTTTAAATGTCTTTGAGGTCAGTCTTCTCCCACACTCATTTTCAAGGCGTCTTTTAAGTTAAACATGTGTGTTTTTATATTACTGAAGCTCCTCTGTGTTAGGGCTGAACGATTAATCGATTTTAAATCGAAATCGCGATTTTAAATGATGCGATTATCAAATCGCAAAGCCTGCGATTTTCTTTACTTTTTTTTTACAATTTTTTTTTTTTTTTCTCGTGTGTCAGTCATCCACACCAATCAGAAGTGCTGTGCTCCACATATGTACCAGGCCATTGTTAAAATAAAAAAAAATATATATACTATATATATATATATGTCTTTTTTTTTTAAGTATCGAAACCGGATCTGATTTCGGTACGGTATACCGTAGCCACCAGTAACCGTTATTTTGATAATACCGG